CCGATCTGCTATTTTTTTATTTATCTAGATGTATATATATATATATGGAAAAACAACTTCTTAAAGGGACAGTGTGTAGGAATTGGTGGCATATAGAGGAGTGGGTGTTGGTTTGCAACCAACTGAATATCCCTCCAATCATGTCCTCCCTTTCCAAGGCTGCAGTAACATGAGCTGCAGAGTGCTAAACTGTGGTAACACGGTTCAGAGGCCATCTTTACCATAACAACAATAACAAGGTGTTGTACTCTGTGGCATGCGCCCCCTGATATGAAGGGCTCATTCTAAGCTAACGAAAACACAACGATTCTCGGTTTCAGTTGATAATACACAAATGAAAACAGTTTTGAATTTCATATTCCTTTTCTGAAATACCACATAATGGCCATTTTAAAGTGAACAACAAAGCTAAAAGAACAGATTTTATTGGCAGATCCTGGATTTTTTTTGTATTATGTTGCCTAAAAAGACAACATTGCAACATTTGCATGGAGGCCTTAATATAAATGTTCCGACCAGCCTGAAAGCTTTAAATTCCCTTACGTTAACATGACAGCTTTTGTAGTTACTGCTTTCTGTCTTTATATGGCAGTACTATTGGCAACTCATCAGCCCCTCACATAAATACTGTCCACTCCCTATTCTCCCAAATAATGAACTTGGCACGTGTAATGGAGATGCACATATGATGGCTGCCTTTAAAACGTGGAATATTAGCCTATTAAACCCACTATAATCTGCATGATTATAACAAGATTAACTCCGTTGATGACCTGAGCTGCTGCAACAAAGCTCGTCTGTGCTGCTGCATTCAATAACTCTGATCTCTGTAGTGCCGTGTTGTGCGGGGTTTCCCTCCCTCCCACTCACTGATGCTTCTCTTTATCTGTGACTCTCTAGTGCATACCCCGTTTGGTATGCAGCATATAGCCCCACGCGGCCTCAGAGATGCAGCTCATCCCCGTTCAATCACGGCCGCAGCGAGGCAATCAGTGGAAGCCCGTCTCCACACACCAACACTGCAGATGTGGGAGGTAGCAAAAAACACTTAAAAAAGCAGAAATGTAATTTGTAAGCAGTGCTGAGAGGAATGACTCAGTTGGGTAATAGATTGCCGGTCAGGGAGCGATGCCTCTGTTTCACCCTTCTTAAACTGCGAATGTGTATGGACACATGCCATACACAGTGGGCGCTCTGTCATAGGATGATGGGACACTTGAACCTGACAATGAGGCAAATGTGTGGATGCCCACATGCTCCAAACGAACCTTTTTTTAAATTACATCATTATTTTATTATTTCCCAGCACCAGCATGTTGACTGGGTGTGCTTTGTGGAAAAGTCAACATGGCAGAACCTACATCAAACACTGACATTAATTCGTGCACATCAAGGTGTTTATTTAATAAGAACAGATTAAGCTGTAAGGACATGACAGAGTCACAGCCTCAGTGATGTAAATATAAACGTTAAAAACAACAAACTTTGACTGTGAAATTATTATAGTGGATTTAAAAATAAAACAATGATGACGTTTAAAGGTATGTTATTAAAATTCTTATTGAAAAGATTTAACATGCAGTTGAAATGCCTTGCAATCATTTGGATTTGAGCTTGAAAGGTCTTTCTTGACATTGGTAAATTATCTGAGCTTCTTTTTAGTGACCAACGGTGATGTACAGTTGAAACTGTGATATGCAGTAGAAAGCTTGTACCTAGCATTTATATTAGTTTTTTTAAAACAATTTGATTATTCAAATGTGTTTGCACTGATAAAATATGTAATGATGATAACGT